CCCTAGTTTTCGAGAAAATCGAGATTTTAGTTTTTCGTAGTTCCGCCGCTCGCCGCTAGATGGCGCCACCTGTACCGTTTTGGACCGAATTCGACAAAAATTCATTTTCTGGCTTTATTAGGCATCAAAACGCATCAAACCCTAATAGAAATTTGTTTCTAAATGCCTCAGGAACCATACTACGTCGTCAAAGTGCCGAAATATTGTACTTTGCATGTGCTGTAGAATTGGCTGTTACATTCCCTATGTGATTCCTATCTAAAGTAGCCATAAAAACACTACATATTCACTGTACGATTCATGAAATCGTATTTCTTATTGGGGACTTCCCCTACCACCAAAGTTTCCCAACATTCTGTGTGGTACATCACTGTAAACTGCAGATTATAGGGATTTACTTGTAATAAAACTAGGAGGTTGTCACTCTGTCAAACTACCTTCGGATGCAGCCGTCAAAAGCACGTGTTTAGGCTTCCATCGATTTCAACATTTATTCGGCGCTGCACGTGCGGTGCGGTGTTTTGTTATTCAAATATGTTAGCTCAAAATTTGATAACTTTTATAAAAAGAAATGACTACTATATCCAAAAGTTTCCACATTTTCAAACTGATCAGGTAAAAATTTAATTTATGTTGTTGTACTTGAAAATTGTACTCTAACAATGCGGTGTTTGCATTGTTATTGTTTAATTTTTACTTGTTGATACTGTTTTTTATACTGTAAGTTTTAGTGATTTTATCTTACATTTGATAATAACTTTATGCAACATTTATTTTAAGTACTTAAATTATATTGAAGCATCATTCTGTTAAAGGTCTAATTATGATAAATCTTACTAACTTAATATTTACAATTAGTTGGTCCTAGTTTATGTTACTGTGTTATAGGAAATGAGCAAGGATGATCAGGAAAAGGTTTTAGATACTTTGCGTGAGTTGTTAATGGATCCAAAATGCACAGAAGATGTTGCTGAATGTTTCCCACAAATACTACTTGCGCTAGTACGATTAAGCATTTCTACTGACAAACTCTCATTTAATGATGGAGATGCTCTTCATAAATTAAATTCTGTTATATTAGGAAAATTACTTTGTAAAGATCATGACTTATTAACGTAAGTATTTTTATTACAATACTTTTATATATTATACAACGAACAAATTAAAAATTAATATTCATTTTTATTCATGTACAGATTTGTTATGCTTTATTTTGATGCAAATCCAGCTCCATTTGAGTCTGTAGAAAGTGATTACACTCCTTCTTTAAAAAAACGAAATAAAAGAAATCGTGCTTCAATTACAGAAGTATCTGATTATGATTTGGTAACTGCTTGCTACGACATTTTGTGTAGTGCACCAACACATTTCAAATATAAATGGAATTGGTCTAAGTTTTATAAATATCTAACACATGATGATGAGGGTGTCAGATGGTAAGATATACACAATTTCTATAATTGGTGACTTCTAAATCAATATACAAATTAATTGTTAATAATCTTTAGGATAGCAATGAATTGCATAGCCATTGTGCTGGGAATGTCAGAATCTTGTTACGTATCACAGGCAAGTGACTTCCTTCCAAAGATCCAGCAGTTATCTATCGAATACAAAAAAGTTAATCAGAATACTACAATATTTACACCCAGCAAAGAAATAGATCATGCTTTCGACGATCTACCTTCAGTAGTATCTATTGGAGGAATTTTACTTCCAAGTTTAAACAAATCCAAAACTAAAAATAAATTGAAGTTAGTTCCAGTACCATCTACACGCAGGAACTTGCAGAATTTAGCTTTTGCAGTATCTTCTAACAAATGTGTGTGTTTACAAGGAGCTGTAGGTTCTGGGAAGACCACACTGGTGGAATTTTTGGCAGAGGCCACAGGCCACAATGCTCAAAATTTTGCAAAAGTACAGTTGGGTGATCAAACAGATTCAAAGATGTTATTAGGAATGTACAGATGTACGGATGTCCCTGGAGAATTTCTGTGGCAACCTGGGATATTAACAGAAGCCGTGTTATCAGGCAAGTGGTTGCTTCTGGAAGACATTGACTGTGCAGCCACAGATGTTATCAGCGTTGTTGGGCAACTTGTAGAAACCAAAACTTTGTCAGTGCCAGGATATAGAGATGCGATACACGCGAAAACTGGATTTCAGTTGTTCATTACCAGGAGATTGACTTCGGGTGGACTGCAAAAGCCACTTCAAATGTCTTTACCGTTGCAAAAGCATTTTTCTTGCGTCAATGTAGAGCCTTTATCAAAAGAAGAACTGGTCACAGTTGTGCAAACTTTATTTCCATTATTAAACACAGTTGCCACCAGGATCATTGATGTATACCTGTTGTTTTCTGTTGGAAACCATGAAGATGATACCGTAAACACTTTAAGAAATGCTAGGCAAATCTCCACAAGGGATTTAATTAAATGGTGCTCTAGAGCCGTCGTTGATTTTAATGTATCTTCACCTACATCGGCATTAAAGATCTTTCAAGACGCATTGGATGTCTTTTGTTGTTCTGTCGCTCATAATGAACAGCGATTAAATTTGGCGATAGCGGTAGCGCATAAGTTAGGTATCATCAAAACGAAAGCAGAGTACTTTTGTCAAGTACATAAACCTTCGGTAACTCTTCATAAAGAATGTCTCATTGTTGGTAGAGCAAAGTTAAAAATAAAAAAGGCTGATCGGGTGAAAATAGGAACTAAACACTCAAACTTCTCTTACACAAGACCATCTGTTTGTCTCCTGGAACGAATAGCCAGCTGTGTTATTCAAAACGAGCCTGTTCTCTTAGTCGGAGAAACTGGAACAGGTAAAACAACTTGTGTCCAGTACCTCGCGCAGATAACAGGCCATAAATTAGTGGTGATAAATATGAACCAACAAAGTGAAAGCACAGATCTGCTCGGCGGTTATAAACCAGTGGACCTAAAGCTTCTGATTTTTCCAATTCGTGAAGAGTTTGAAATATTGTTCCGCTCTTATTTTGCAATTGAACCAAATCTAAAATTCTTGAATCACATTGGACGTTGCTTTGAAGACAGGAAATGGAAAACGCTGACTACCTTAATGATTCATAGCACCAGTGCAGCCCTGAAAAGATTGAAGTCATCTCCTAAAAACCAAAGTGAAGTGGAACTTTTGAAGAAGTGGGAAAAGTTGGCACAAAAGTTGGAGAAGCTTCAGTCTCAGGTGCAGAGTCAGTATTCGCTAGCATTCTCTTTTGTGGAAGGCAGTCTGGTGAAAGCACTGAAAAATGGAGACTGGGTTTTGTTGGACGAGATCAACTTAGCTACAGCTGAAACTTTAGAGTGTCTTTCAGGATTACTGGAAGGTTCTTGTGGATCATTATCTTTGTTGGAACGTGGAGATAAAGAACCGATTAAAAGGCACCAAGATTTTGCAATTTTTGCTTGTATGAATCCTGCAACAGATGTTGGGAAGAAGGATCTTCCAATAGGACTCAGAAACAGGTTTACAGAATTCTTTGTTGATGAACTCACAGAGAAGTCTGATTTACAACTTCTAGTAAACTTATACTTAAAGGACTTAAACCTTCCATCAGGGAAGGTAGACAATATCGTTAAGTTCTACTTAAATGTCAGAAAAGAGGCAGACTCTAATCTTCTCGACGGGACTGGACATAAACCGCATTACAGTTTAAGAACGTTATGTCGTGCTTTGAGTGTATCAGCACAAAATCCTTGTGCAAATGCGTTGAGATCTTTGTACGAGGCGTTTTGTCTAAGTTTCTTAACACAGTTGGACAGTGAGTCCTATCCTTTGGTGCAAAGAATGATTGTGAAAACCCTCCTGGGTGAGAAAGCTGTAAATGCAATCATTGGAAGCCCAATTCCAAGACCACGTGGTCCAGCTGAGAACTTTATTTGCTTTGAAGGATACTGGATTCCTAAAGGTGACCTTGATCCAGAAGTGCCAGAAAACTACATACTTACAGACACGGTGAGACAAAATTTGAAGGATTTAGTGAGAGTAGTGTCTATTGGAAAAATGCCTGTGCTATTGCAAGGTGACACTTCTGTTGGAAAAACCAGTTTGATAACATACCTCGCAAAAGCTTCAGGACATACTTGTGTTAGAATTAACAATCATGAACACACTGATCTCCAAGAATATGTGGGTACCTATGTAGCTGATGCAGCAGGGAAGTTAGTTTTCAAAGAGGGTATTTTAGTGAATGCTATGCGCAAAGGATATTGGATAATATTGGATGAGTTAAATTTAGCACCCAGCGACGTTCTAGAAGCCTTAAATAGAGTTCTTGACGACAACAGAGAACTGTTTATTCCAGAAATTCAACAGGTGGTTAAAGCACACAATAATTTCATGCTTTTTGCTACCCAGAATCCTCCAGGGTTGTATGGAGGAAGAAAAGTGCTTTCACGTGCGTTTAGAAACAGATTTGTTGAGCTACACTTTGATGAGATCCCAGCAAAAGAGCTTCAGGTGATACTACACAAGAGATGCAAAATGCCAGAGACATATTGCAAGCAAATAATCAGTGTGATGACAGAGCTTCAAATAAGAAGGAAGAGCACAGCAACTTTTGCTGGAAAGAAAGGATTTATAACTCTGAGAGATTTGTTCCGGTGGGCTGAAAGGTATCATCTTGCACCAGATACTGGAGGCAAACTGTATGACTGGAGTCAACATCTGGCTGATGAAGGATACTTGGTCTTATCATCCAAGGTCCGTCATTCAGAAGAGTGCTTGGAAATTATACAAGTCTTGAAGAAACATCTGAAAAGAGATGTTGATCCAGATGCACTATTTTCACTCTCTGAGAAAACTTCATCTGTAACTAGATCAATTTTGGAGACACTTTTGTCAAAGAAAATTCCAGGATTTGAACATATAGTATGGACATATCAAATGCGCAAAATGGCAGTGCTCCTTTCAAAGGCCTGTGAATTTAAAGAGCCTGTCCTATTGATTGGTGAAACAGGAGGCGGCAAAACTACAGTTTGTCAACTTCTCTCTGTAATTAGGCAACAAGAGCTCAGTATTGTTAACTGTCATATGCACACTGAAGCTTCAGATTTCCTTGGAAGCCTCCGTCCTGTGAGAGAGCACAAAGAAAATCAGAAACTGTTTGAATGGGTAGATGGTCCCTTGGTAAAAGCTATGAAAAATGGAGGTTTCTTCTTGGTGGATGAAATTTCTTTAGCGGATGACAGTGTACTTGAACGACTGAACTCTCTTTTGGGTAATTATTCATCTAATAAAAATTAATCTTGCTATTCATAAGACAACGATTGTTTCATTTCTCAGAGCCCGAACGAAAGCTTCTGATTGCGGAGAAGCCGTCAGCTGAAGAGAATGCAACGGTCACTGCACATGAAAACTTCATTTTTGTCGGGACAATGAATCCTGGCGGTGATTACGGCAAAAAGGAACTGTCACCAGCTCTCAGAAACAGATTCACCGAAATTTGGTGTGAAGGATGCGTTTCATTTGATGACTTCAAAAGTATCATGGTACATAATCTACATCAAGAGTTCAAAGAAAGCGTTTCCACCGCTGTGATAGAATTTCTTAAATGGTTACAAACTACAGAGATAGGAAGAAAGCTTGTTGTCAGCGTCAGAGACATACTCACTTGGGTGAACTTCATCAATTGTTGTAAAGACTTGGAGATAGGAGATGCTTTCTACCATGGTGCAGCATTGAGCTACATCGATGGACTTGGTTCTGGCTTGACTGCCATCGAAAAGTAACTAATTTAATATCATAATATGTTATGATCAAGCTAACCTAACCTAACAAGCTAATTATGTTTCAGTTCAAAGAAATTGAAGGAGTTTAAGAAATCGTTGCTGAAGTTCATTGAACATCAAGTACAGACCACACTGAAGTCAAAGTTAATATTGAACTGTGAGAAATTTGATGTCGAAGATCGTGAGGATAAATTTGGAATAAATCCATTTTATGTGAGAAAAGGCAGTGAAGAAATATCAAACATAGGATTTTCTTTCACAAGTCCCACAACTAGGATGAATACCCTGAAGGTGCTACGTGCTCTGCAACTGAAGAAACCAATATTACTGGAAGGTAGTCCAGGAGTTGGGAAAACTAGTTTGGTTTCTGCATTGGCAAGAGCATCTGGACATCGTCTTCTTAGACTGAATCTCAGTGATCAAACTGTATGTACTTCTTTCTGTAGTGACATGTTATTTATTTGTTTATTATATTTATCAACCCATACAGGATATTTCGGATTTGTTTGGAGCTGATTTGCCAGTGGAAGGAGGAAAGCCTGGAGAATTTTCTTGGACGGATGGTCCTTTCTTGAGAGCCCTTAAAAATGGAGACTGGATTCTTCTCGATGAATTGAATCTTGCATCGCAGTCGGTTCTTGAGGGACTCAACGCTTGTCTTGATCATCGCGGTGAAGTTTATATCCCCGAACTGGGAATGACTTTCATCGTGAAGCCAGGAACTAGGTTATTCGCTTGCCAAAATCCTCTTCGTCAAGGTGGTGCTAGAAGAGGATTGCCAAAATCGTTTTTGAACCGTTTTACTCAGGTAGTTTCCTAATTAAACAACGAGATATTTCTAGACCTAATGGTTTGTTTCCTTTAGGTTTTTGTGGATACTCTTGAGCAAAGGGACTTGAAGTTCATTTTGAACAGCCAGTTTCCAAAAATTCCAGAAGAATTATTAGACAAGATGATCCAATTCAATGAAGAACTTAGCTCTCAAGTAGGAATTACTTGGGGACATCTAGGATCACCCTGGGAAATGAATCTCAGGGATGTCACCAGATGGTGTGAAATAACCATGTCAGCTTCTGAACGGAATCCAAGCAAGACCTTTAATCCTGGAAATGGTGCTAAGCTGATTTATGTCGACAGAATGAGGACACACGAGGATAAGAGTAATGTAAGATAAATTGTGAACAGTTTTCAAACTTAATCTTCTTATATTGTCATTCGGTATTTAATGAACAGAGTAATCGATTCAATTTTCAAATTACAGGTAATTGAGATATATAACAGTATATTCTCCCAGGATAAGTATCCTTTGCCAAACCCAGAGTTTCCAATCCACATAACAAGAGAGAAGGTCTTCCTGGGGGATGAAATACTAGACCGCAGTGACTCTGCGGTGTACGAAGACGATGATTTATTGCTCCTGAGGGAACAGAAAACTGTTGTCAGGAGTCTCGCGCAATGTGTTAACATGAATTGGATGACCATCCTTGTAAGTGCTTCGTGAATAACAAATGATGCTTTCATAAAATGCACAGTTACTTTTCATGAAGTCATTGAATTTAATAACAGGTTGGGGGATCTGGAACCGGAAAGAGCAGCCTCGTCCATCTTTTGGCAAACCTAGCCGGACAAAAGCTGAAATCAGTCGTTATTAATTCCGCGATGGACACCACTGAAATCTTAGGTGGCTTCGAACAGGTAAGTCATTTTATAATAAACAGAGTTGTTTAATTCTTGATGTACATAATTCTTACTATTCAAATATTGTGGTACGATTGTATGCAAGTAAAGCTTTTTACAGTCAACAGTAGATAGAGAAATAAGCATCCTACCACCTATTTGTTCATATCCTTTAATGTGAGGATCAGAACTTGTACTTCTAGGTTAGGTTATCATTGGGTCCCTATACTGTCCCTAGATTTTCCCAAAATTTTCTCTGGATTCTTGTCCTCTACACTTACTGTTGCTGAAGAAAAGCCTGTGTTGCATTACAATGTACAAAAATCATGTTCATAACATTGACACGAATATAATTTCCATTATAAATGTATATATTTTGTAATGAGAACATGTGATGATTGCTGCTGTCAAAGATAATCTATCATTTATTTACACATTAAGTGACATCGATTTATAATTTTATAAACGCAAGTAATGTTGTATAATCAGCGATATAAATATTGCAATCAGTTTTTCGGACGACCTTTCTGTAATAGCTATTCAATCTGCCAGGCACCATTTATTAATGGACTTACATTAGTATCCTTAACGTTACCATTGTTTGGTTAACATTCATTTGTTAATAATTAATGATTAAGTCTAGTCTTTCAATAGAAATTGACATTGTTTCAGGGATTTTCCGGACCTAATCTTTTTCTATTCACTTAGATTCAAAAAAATAAACACATTGTTATGAAAATATTCACAATATATATTTTTTTAAATTAAAGAGATACAAATTATTTATATTTTTTAGAATTAATTTAATTATAAAACAGCAGTCCTTACAATCTAAACTGATATATTTATTACAACTACAAAAATATTTATGATCAAAGAAAATCTGAGGAAGGTGAAACATTTGTATCAGAAAATGAAAGTATATTAAATGACAAGCTCATAATTTTCATCTGAACTATTTATTGGAAATACAAAACACATTTAACAAAGTTAAAAAAATTTAAGGTAATTAGTATATTCTTCTAAATTAAATATCCATCAAAATTGTATGTAAAGCTTGAGACGATATTGAACGATTTCTATCTGAAAATTGTCTTCATTTTAATTATACAAATTTCGTTAACTAATTCAAATAAGGATACATACTATTTTTGTTGAACATCTTTTTTCTCTGGGAATTCAATATAGACTTCTATACAGAATTTTATATTGAATTATAGTACATCGCAGAACAAAGAACTAATTTAAAACATTCAGGCATGAGGCTCGTGCATTTAAATATGTACTTAAAGTATATTAGAAAATGCACGTCCGGAAATCCCTAAAGTTTTGCATAGAAAATATATATATGTATATAATTATATATTAGATACATGTACACATATACAGGGTAGCTGTTGAGTTTTTAGTATTTCAATTTTATTTTTCAAAGCACTGCTTGCAATTGTTTGTACTTGAAATAAACAATCTATCTACTTCTGTATCCTATAATTTATGATTATAACTTACTAATCTTGTTACTTAAAGTTTCGATTCTTCCAACTCCCTGTACATGTACATATGTGCTCTCATTTATGTATATATATTTGTATAATAGGTGTATAACAACGATAATAGTATTAATAACAATACTGGTAAATAATATATTAATAAGAATCGAGGAGCATAAACCTCGATCAGTTGAGTCCCCAGTTGAATGGAAAGCTCATCCAAAGGTGCAGACTACTTAATTTATCCTAATTAATTATTTAAAGCTAATTGGTGCACCTAATATTTCGATTTACATTAAAGGAACTATCATTTGTCGATGACTCTGTCTCCCTACTTTTATTGTGCCGTTATTGGCGATGCCTAAATAGACAAAACATTTAAAAGCTTTAGAAGTTTTACATGAAAACATGCTTAATGATCACCTAAAGAATCTTTTTTGCTTGTGTGTTTTGGCAATTATCGAATACTATTCTATGGTTCTTAGATGAATCTGTTTGGCAACATTTCTTCATTTCTTCTTTTGGAGGAATATGGTTATGCTTGATGTACCAACATTTGAAAGTGAACTTTTTGAGGGAGTAATTTTGAAGGAGGAACCACTCATTGAAGGTTTAACCCTTTGAACATTGTAGGTTTACTTTTCTTCAAGCAGTTAGTGCAGTTTTGAATATACAGATTATGTCCAAGTGACTCTATATGGATACTGAATACCTGTGGAGATTACTATGAGGTATATGAGGCTGACACATTGCTTTTTACTTTGATTAGGTGCAAAGGGTTAAACATCTTACGTATAAGAAATAAACCTTTGATGTAGGTGATGGAAATTTTTGTATCTTTCAATGAGAGTTAAAAGTCAGTATACCGTTTATACATGAAAATCATTGGATCATTTTTGTGGAATGGAGCTTTTGAAGAATCAATTTTGAGAATCATTTTGTATGACTTTCAAAATTGATTTTCTTAAATATATTTCCAGAAACAAATAATTGATGTTGCAAAAGTTTCTTGATTAACAGGGTGGAATCCTTGCATGCTCAAAAAAATGGCAAACTTAAAAGCAAATAACCATGGATCATTTCAATTGATTTATTCACTCTTTTGTTGTAACATATGTATACGTTTAATATCACTTAGGTCCACCTTTATCATTGATAACTGTTAATAGTTAATATGTTTATATATAAGACACATTTCCAGAAGTATTGTTCCACATATTTGTTATTATTAACCCTTTCAGCATTAAGCGGATTTGTTTAATGAGATAAGAAGCTTGTTATTTAATATTAGATGTTCCAGAAGTAATTATGTAATGTCTTAATGGAAGTTTATTGGATATGTATGTTACTCTGCTTGATCAGAATAGATTTGGATAATGATATATGGCACATTTACATCAAGTTGTGCTTGTTAAAAAAAAATATGAAGTAACCATGTATTAGACTTAAAGATGAAATATCTTCATAACTAGAAATTTAGAAATCTGGCAATCTAAGAGTTAAATTTGACAATCCAAAAATTTGTACTGTGTTTGAACTGCTGAAAAGGTTAACGTTTGTAAGAAAAATTATACTTATTGTGTGGTTATAATATAATGAACGTTCCATTAAAATTGCCGCCGCAATTGGATGATGGTGATCTTGAAATTCACACCTGCGAACCGTGTACCGACTTTCGACTCTCACTATATACAAAAAATCTCTTCATCGACTGCAACAAAAAGTTGGATGAGAAGATCATTAATATTACCCGTAATCAACATCAAAACACAGATTACTTTGAAAACTCGACAACGATTCCTCAATTCAACATACATCATTCAATCGGAATGTTTTCCTCTTTCAAAACAAACAAAAACAAAAGAACGGAACAAGTTCATTCGCTAGGTAAATCGCTGCTAGTGGGGCTGACATTTACTTTCGTATCGTTCACCGTCAACGGGGGTGGTAACAAAATGCTCGATCTTCTACTAACGTCTTCGTCGTAAACGGTCGACGTGCTTTTCGATCTTGAAACCAGAGTCCACGGATCCGGTGGTACGATCATTGCGTCGTCCTGTACGTTAATTCCGCGATTAATTACGATTAGTTAAGCTTGAACAGAAAGTGTAGAAAAGGACACCTTTAATAATGACGCACATTAGAGACGGACGAGTAGTTGCATGCGAATCGTGCTGAATTGGTACCTTATCGTCACGTGACATTACTTTGCGTGAAACTCAGTATCGTTATTTTATTATGGACCATGCAATATTGACAGGAATTTTTGAAAATGCGACGATCGTGCAGGATTATCATTCTAGGAATATTTGAAGTACCCTAGGTAAATTGCCGATTTGAATTTTTTTAGAATATTACAAATAAAATTTGTAAATTCAAATTTGGTAATTTCTTAACCTACAAATTTTACAGATATGCTCTCTTCAGTTCTAAGAACTGTCATATACCCATGACAATATACCGGAAGTAGAGAAGTGAAAAATAAAAACACAAAAATATGACAATAAAACATGCAATAAAAAGCGAACTACCAAAGCTGTCAACAGTGAATTTTTCTAAATAACTTCGAGGCGTATAAAAGTCGATGAAAACTAAAGTAAATGAATTTTCTACCGTTCAAATATCAATATCAGGAAAGTACTATCGAAAAGTCATTCCGTGCCCAAACGTGCAAAACATCTGGTTGGTTCATTTCGCAAAGCGATCGAGAAACCCTCTTCAGGTTCTTTGAAAATATTTTCAATACCAGTAAGTGTTTGCCGGTGGGTGGCAAGGGAGGTTTCAGTAGGGCGACGTCCGTTAGGTCCGGGCAAGTTGTGGGCGGCACAACGGGCGGCTCGGGGGGCGAGGGCACGGCATCAATCGGCTCCTGGTATCGTGGAGGCTGAACGACCTCCACCGGGATACTTGGACCCAGAATCCAGCTGGCGATTATCTCGCAACATCCGCAGAAAAACTCGGATAATCCTTGTCGTAGTCCTCGGTGAAGGCTCAAGAACAACACCGGGTTCACGAAGGCGTGGACGTACGCGATATGTAGTGTCACCTCAAATTTCATTATTCTCAGTTTTTACACTTTCTATTATTTTCTTATATTTATTATATTTAAACTTACTCTTTTATTATCAATTTTTTACACTCAAATCCTACACTTTGTCAAGTTTTATATTTTCTGCTGTTCATTTTGTAATTTAAAAAATTTTTCTTTCTACGATTTTCTATTTTCAGATGGACAAATTTTATACTGAAGTTTGAGTTTGGAAAGTTTGCAGATTTTTAAGTTTACACAATTGCAAGTTACAATTTGTTGCAATTTCAAGTTGCAATTTGTATTATTTACAATTTGTTGCAATTTCAAGTTACAATCTATATAATTTACAATTTATTGCAATTATAAATTTACAGATTTCGAAATCCCTGAAGCTAAAGTTCGAAAACAAAAGCGTTGTTGTATGACACGTTACCTCATAGCCAGTAGGATTTCCTATGCTAGGATGATCCACCAAAGTGACGAAGAACAATGGTCCCCAAAAGATTCCGTATGCGGCCGTGATCACCAGAAACATTTTCACCCTCTGCACTCCCTCCCTTTCCATTCTCTTCAAGTAGTTTCTCATTTTGCGGTGTTCCTCTGCTGCTCCACTTCTCTGAAGTAATACTTCTTTATTTTAGTGGGTTGATAGAGCGATGCTGTGTTTAGTGCAACTACTGTATATATACACACACAGCATATGTATATTTCCCCGATAAAACAACGATAAATGAACGTGTCTATAGACACAATTTTATCCTCTCTTGCTACGACCATCGATTACGTATAAACTCTCGACAAACTTGTCAATTTGGGTAAATATTTCTTTATCAGAATTTTTGACAGAACATAATATAATTATTTCGTTACCTTGGGCGTGCCGTTTGCAGATGCAGTAGAATTTTCAGGAACCGCGTTTGTTTGCTGGTTTCCGGTCGTGTTCACGAGAATCGTCAGCAGCGCTACTTTAACCTGTTAAAAAATTATTTTCCATGAAAAATTAAAAACCTCCCCATGAACTCGGTAAGCTTATTCAGGTGATATCTGTCGGAGTAAGATTTCGTACAAGGTTCAAAATTAGTAAAAATAAATCGCCCCCCTAAACGTGTCAAATAGGAAACCCATTTCGATTTTCAATACCTCACCGAAATCGACGCGTGACAAACCCCGCGGTTCTTTTATGCGACAGATATGGAAGACGAATGACAGGAAAAGTGAAACAGACACCGATAGCGACAGCACTGCGGACAGTTTGTAGTCAGACTCATTTTCGAACCAATGTATCAAACTCTGTTTACCCTTGGACAGCTTTCGTCTCCAATTTATAGACAGATTTGACCCAATTGTTATTTTATTACTCGATACATTTTATATACTCGATTTTAGCTTTTTACTCAAAATCAATGGTACGTAATGAACATCCAATTAAACCTTGTCATACTATGACGAGTGAGACGCACTTGACGTGACGCACAGTGCAATACAGAATTGACGTAATATTCGAACTCTGTTTATTGCAGCAGTAAACAGTTTGACGAAGAAATAAATCGCACGGCAAAGGATTAACAAAGTCTCCTGAATTTTGACAAATTTTTGACAAGTCTAAAATATCGAAATACGAGACATTTTTCCCCCGTTTCATCATTTAGTCTGACCCAGTATCCAAGGGTTATAGAAAGACTAAACATCCCCTTTCCGACTGCAACAATGATAAAAAAGGAATGTCACGGCACAAAGATTTCTTTTATCGCGATACACGTGTCCGCGTCTTTGTATCCTGTAGGCAAGAAAGGATAATGCATGCAAAACAGGGTGCGGCCTCTCGAAAACAAGGATGGAATACGTACCGCCTCGACGTTGGCCTTCGTCAGATCTTTATGCAGTTTTCTGAGGTGTATGAGAGTGAGAGCGACGCAGATCATGTTGATGGCGATCCACAGCACGTTCAATATGTAATGACGGAAAGGACCGTGTACCAACGGGCAACTCGGGGCATTGTGCCCTGATTCCGTATTCGCTGCTAGAGCACCACTTAGAAACGTCGGACCCAGATTAATCGTGATGCTCGCGAACCATATCATGAACGTGCCGAATAACACGCACTGAAACAATATTCAGACACCGTCTTAACAACCCTTTCACGGATATTAATTTCGGGGATGCGACCCGAAAATTGCCAGCTCGGGCTTAGGCAGCCTCCGAACTTCCTAAATGCTTCGAATATGTCGGGATTCGCTGTATTCGGCTATTGTAATGGAATTTTAGATAGGGTATTACGGATTACGGATTAGTCTATAATGTTGTTTCGTGCATTCTGCTGGGATTGTTTTGATAGTTTACTACTCCAGAGGGCTTCATTTTGAAATCTGGTTTAGACTCGATTTCTTTGATCATTTTACATATTCTCTAAACTTGTTTCCTGAATTTATTATACAAACTAACTTCAGTTTTTAAGTACTCATCCACATGTATGTAGGGATTTCTTTGATCACTTTACATATTCTCAAAACTTGTTTCCTAACTTTATTGTACAAACTAACTTCAGTTATTAAGTACTCATCTGTGCATCCACATGTAACATCTCCATGTATGTAGGGATTTCTTTGATCACTTTACATATTCTCAAACTTGTTTCCTAACTTTATTGTACAAACTAACTTCAGTTTTTAAGTACTCATCCCTGCATCCACATGTAACATCCCCATAGAAGTGGGGTCCACAATGTAACTACAGCCTAAATTCTCATTCAAGGTAATATAACAAGGCAATATAGTCCCCATGATGGTCCTCGCACCTCACATGCAAAATATCTCCACAAAAATACACATGAAAGACACATCCAAAGGTAGACTACCTATGAATTAGGTATATTCCCAGTATAAATGAATTCTGACGAAATCCAAAAGTGCCTAAGCTGTCATAAATAGTAGGTACTAGTCCCCATAATGGTCCTCGCACCTCACATGCAAAATATCTCCAGAAAAATACACATGAAAGACACATCCAAGTGTAGACTACATATGAATTAGGTATATCCCAGTATAAATGAATTTTGACGAAATCCAAAAGTGCATAAGCTGTCATAAATAGTAGGAAATCAGCGGGTGAAGGTGATACGAACACCAGAGACCGGTGACGCCCGTAAATTGCTGTGTACACACAGGGCGGAGTGTGTACGTATCGTATGCAGAGGCTGTGAAGGGTTCTCTTTCTGAAGCGGAAGTGAAAATAGGAAGAGTGGCTCGGTGAGCGGAGAAACGGAAAGGGCGGAGAGGATATAATGGGAGCGTGTCACATGCATTGTTAGAACGAATTCAGCGGAGGGGTCGATTGCGGTGGTAAACTGTCCGCGACGGAATGACGCTGGCTTTCACCGTGGAATTAATTGTGACATCCAGTTTATTCGAGGTCTTTTCTCGATAGCCTCGATTAACCGGCTACCACGTATTAATCGGAGTTTTAATTGATATCGGATATCTGTCTCAACTGTTCCTTCGTTACCGTTTCGACTTCTTAAATTTGCTTTTAATTGAACGATAATGTATTCGAGCGGGTTTGCAGAAAAAGTGTGTACAGTGGAGATATCGTTTTGTTTGCTTTTAATTATTTTATTCAAACGAGACGGGTGACATTTTTTATACCCTGGCTCGTAAATATGGGCGATATAGCGCGGTCGTAAATGTCGGTATAACATGGTCGTGCATGGTAAAGTACACACGTTATTTATGAATTGATGCGCTTCTATACTGTGTCCGAATTTCCAAATATCGTCGTTTTTAAAACCGGTCATTAAATCTGGGCTGCGGTGTCGAAATGGTCAAATTTACGTCAAGCGAAATTTACGAGCTCGCTATATTGCTATGGTCATTATACCGCATTACCGAGTGTGCCAATAATTTTTGTAGCCAGTGTTAGTCCAAGTTACGGGCGTGCATCGATAAATAACTTTCGGCTATCGTTTCGTGCAGGTGTTACGTTCAATTATTAAACTTGTTTCAATTTTGCGCGGAACTGTAGTTAGATCGATCCGTAACTCGGGCTACGTTCAAAGGCACTTTGTGTCACTTAAAGCATCGTAATTGAGTTAAACGAGACGTGGCCACGAAAGTGCACATATGTACACGATGGAAAACGTAATTTCTCGAAGGAAAGAAGAAGTTGATTTATGGGAAACCCTTTTGGGATTCTGGTTCCTTTTGAATTGAAACGAGGCGACCGTTACTCTTGGAATTAGTCGGGGGAAATTCAGTTCGTCTGAATCAGAAAATAACTTCTTCTCTCTTGGGAATTGCTTTCAGTGGTCCAATGATAATTAGAATGTGGCACGTATAATCGAGCTGGGGAACGTGATCTGATCAGAATTAGCCGTTCTGTGTCAAGAACACTTATTAGAAGTAGATTTTGGGTTAATTATCTGGTTGTCAGTTACGTGCTTTTCATTTATTTAGTCGTTACTCGTGTAACTATTACTTATGTAGCTGTCAGTTATATAGCTGTTACTTGTGTACTTGTATTGGTGCTATGTAGGTGTCACTGATTCAGCTGTTACTTATGTAACCGCCACTTATCTAGTTGTCAGTTATGTAGATGTCATTTATGCCACTGTCACTTATGTAGTTGTCACTTATCTAGCTGTTACTTATGTATTTATGTTGGTGTTATGTAGGTGTCACTGATGCAGTTGCTACTTATTTAACCGCCACTTATCTAGTTGTCAGTTATGCAGATATCACTTATATAATTGTCACTCAAGCAGCTGTCACTCATTTGATTATTGAATCACCTTATGTATTTATTAAATATAGCTATCACTTATGTAATTATTAAGCTATATATTTATACAGTCACTCACATAGCAGTCACTTAAGTAACTGCCACTTATGTAGCTGTCAGTTACGCAGATGTCACTTAAGCAGCTGTCACTCATTTGATTATTGAATTACCTTATGTATTTATTAAATATAGCTATCACTTATGTAATTATTAAGCTATATATTTATACAGCCACTTACGTAGCGGTCACTTATGCAGCGATCACTTAAGTAGCTGTCACTTATATTCTTATTATACATACAGTCATCAGTTAAACATAAGTCTGCCGTACCACAAATGTCATTTTCTATACCTTTTACGTTATAATCATCAAATACCTATTTTCATACTAAACACGCGATACATGTTAGTTACGATATCTTAATGATAACGTTCCATTTCATATGCATTAATGTAATAATAATTATGATTTCTATAAATGAGCATTATCTGCGTGTCGTGTTTATATCATCGATCGTATTTACTCTCTTCCTTTTTCCATCACTTCGTCCCCGTTGAAAGGTATCTTCATTCATACAAGCAGGCTCTTCACACTCGCACGCGGAGATAGATACATATTTTGTGATATTCATTCTTTTAATTAAAGCATCCATTTGCTGCGCTCGCTTCCGCTGCTGGGTACTGCAGGTGGTAATAAAACTGATAAGATCAATATCTCTAGGTAGAAGAATAGAGCCGGAAAATTTAGAAAATTCTAAATTTAAAAATTGGAAACTTGTAAACTGTGCTGGAAAATGATCTCAAATTAGAATCGTTATGATTATAAGATCCCTAGATTCTCATTTGTTCTAGAGTCCAATGTCCCTAGATTATTCTATATGTTCCTAGATCCACATCTTTGTACCTCTGTGTCCTTATGACCCTGTTATTCTAAAGTACGAGTGTGACTGAAACGTAGTCACCTCCTGGCACACGTTAGTATTAGCAGTTGGATTAGGTTCCTCAGAGTCGGGAAATGGCCGTTGATGAATTTAACTGCAATACCAGCAGAACGTTAGTAATATTTTCCTTTTGAACTTAACCCAAGAGCCTCAAACAGTATTAACCGCAATTCTGGAGTTGCTTAACTCTTCACATTAGGAAAGCTTCCTGCGACGCTGAAGATAACGTAGACTCTAGATTACTAGATTTCAACTTTCCAGAACTTCCAATCAGTTTAAGCGATGATGGCTTAATATTACACGTGTCTCATGCGTATGGACTTCAGCACCAGCGATTATATTTAAAAGTAGATCAAAATAGAAATACGTGGAAAATAGGAGTGCAGTCATCATTTAGTTGTTTCACGTTATATTGCCGTTTAAGGAAAGTCCAATTTCCAAATTCATTTTCAAGATTTCTGAGTTGTCAAACTTGCAGCTGTGCAAACTTGCAGAGTTTAAATTCTCTCTTCTCAAGTCTCATTTTAAATAATTTAGTTGTTTCTCGTTATATCGCCGTTTAAGGAAAGTCAGTCCAATTTCCAAATTCATTATTTTCACAATTTCTGAGTTCTCAATCTTCCAGCTGTGCAAACTTGCGGAGTTTAAACTCTCTCTCTCCGTCTCTCGTTATATCGCCGCTGAGTGCCATAATCACGTCCACCGCAATATGGGGAAAGTTTATCGTATGCAATAGGTGCATACCAAAGTTTCTATCATTATAGAATAATTAGTAGTGCAAGTACTTTAATATAAATTTTGCCTACAGGGTATGACCAAAGCATCGGTTAATACTTAATAGAAAAGCATCCGATTGATGCAAACATCTGTTTTTATCCGGGAATTGGAACTTATTTACGATCGAACCGGAACACACCGCCACAGTTTGCTGTTCCAAATTAAAATACGGTTGTTCAACCAATAACGTGATCGATCGAGCAGACTCGGCTAGTAAGGACGATCGTTCCATTGTAAATTTTCCCCGTGGCTGGAATTTCCTTGTCCACGAAGTTTCTCCATTATCAGACCTCTTTTCCTTCGCTCGTTTGGAATTTCTCTTCGGAATATTCCTTCGATAGAGTTTTATTACTGGACAAATCTTCTTGTAATTAGATTGTTCCTATTTTCGTTGCCGTACCTTTGCCATTCCTCCATTTTTTCACGTTTATCCACTTTACTTTCCCTATTTCGTGCTTCGATTCACCTATTCTCAAATTTATAGCTCTGATCGATGCGGCACCTCGGAAAATACGTGTACTTCCATATTTCCAGGTCATGATTGATCACTATTTTCTTTTCCGTGTCGTCAAATAAGTGTTTTACAGCTGTGAATCCTCGGAGAATGCTTTCGAGCCTTACCTCGAGTTTATAGTCGTAATTTTATTGACCACCTAACGCACTATTCGGGAATTAACCCGTTCCAGATTAACCCATTAATCCGCAGCGTACGTGGATTCTACGTATCTACACCGTATAGCGAAAATGGGTTATGCGAGATCGATACGGCGAGAAGAATGAGAAAATGTAAATAAAGAATCGAGGAACACTTGCCTGCGGTGAGTCCATAAGCAAAGGGGCCGTCAGATCAGCCTCCTCGTCCGTTTCCGGGAAGATGGGGCTGTCGTTTAGCACCGTCGTCAACATATTCACCGTCGAGACTGTCACCAACAGTAGAAACGCTGTCTCGACCAGGGAACATTTGGTCATCGGTTGACAATTCAATATGCTCGAACCGAGGGGCAATAAAATGGCGGCTCTAGCGCAGTCGACCATCGCCTGATGGAACAGCAGTCCTTGCGACCACCTGGAAATCGTAATCGAATCTTTCATGCGATGTACAATTTTCAAATCCTTTCTATCTTGTGGATTTTTCAGTTTCTATTTAACTTTAATTTAATTCAGTTTAATTTAATTTTCTTCGAGTTAAATTTACAAATATCAGGTTGTCTAATTCAGTTCACTCGACTTCGTTTTCTAGTTTCCGAGTATTCAAGTTTTCCAGTTTCTCAGTTTCCAATTATCTCGGTTTCCCAATCTTCCAACGTCCCGATATAGCCCTCAAATACTCGATAAATGACGGAGATCTCCCGAGCCGATTTGGCGCCAAATATAAAACAAACTTTGCATTTGAAAATTTATCAAGTCAACAATCGAAATTTTCTTACAAATTCTATAAATTCCACAAATCGTATAAACTGAAATATTCGTATGTGTCTATATAATGATATATCGTGTTATCATGTAATACAATTGTATAGCATATCACTCAAAGTAGCAGAGTGGCATAAATTAGAATGGCCGTACGCGTGTTTCAAGCACGCTTCACCAGTTACAATGTCCAGTGGTGTACTTGTCACGGTACACGAACCAGGTTGTTCCTCTAAATCTTTCATTGAAATTACCTGCGTAACTGTCGTTTGCCCAGGATCAATGCCATCAGTACAAAGTTAGCTCCCATCCCGAGGGCACCCAGGCTGAATATCAGCGTTGCCTCGGTCGCTCCGCCTGGATGGCACTGAAATACCTTCGTCGCGTTCGACGACACGTTACCGGATGCACCGATTCCGAACCTTAAATTGGCCCCTATCATCGCCATCAATTAACCTGTTCAATCATTTTTATTTGTTAAATACTCGTTCCTAGACAGAGAGATGCATGCTCCTCTGATAAGTCATTTACCATAGGTACCTTTGATCAATGGTTTTGGGTATCTTTTCTATTTTAGGTATTTTTAAATAATTATTTACTGTGTCATTGTTTCTCTGTTTTATGCAGAAAACATTCTGGGAAATTAATTTTGTGTTATATCAATTTATCTGTGGGTATTTTATTATTTTTATGTAGGCAAACATTTTGGAAGAGTTACGTAAACCAATATGGCGGCTACGCGCATGCGCACTGCGTCTACGCCGATCGTTCACAATTCGATAGAATAATTTAAGTAGTGGTATATTCGACAATTTTGGTATAAATAAATTAATGATTTGTTGTAGGAAATATCCAGTGGAGTTGAATAATATAGTACAAGAATAAATAATGTAATTATATAATGTATTAATGATCTCCATCCTAGACGCCATATTGGATTCAGGTGTACAGAGCACACGTTAATAGAATGACTACATGAAATATAAATTAGAGTTACCAATTTACTTCAGAATAGACTTCACCAAACGTTTATACAAATGTTTAAGATTTATAATTTGCGAAAGTTTCATGTAAATAATGAGAGTGTCAAAAGTTGTCCGACCGCAGTAACATATTGTTGAGGGGATTTAGACGGCAGTTTGTGAGCGACACCATAAATCCCCAGACTCAACAGAACGTGAAGGAAGAGTCTGTATTGCTTTCTTAGACCGCAAATAGAGCAACTTGAGATCGAGTAACCGCGGAGTAAAGCGGTAGTCAGTGAAACAACCGCAAGTAGTACAGCTCAATAGATGCTGCCACTTCATTTCCACTCCTGTATAAACGGTACAGTGACTTGCAAGTATTGTACCGTCTCAGTCAGACGTCGAAAGAAATCTCACGTGTCGATCTACCTTAACTGTTAAGCTAAGTTCGCTTCGCTGAACACGTTAATTGAACCTCCTGTTCTAATCTCAAGACACACATTTATCTAACGGACATTTAACGGGTGTGGGGAAGTAATATGTGTTTTTAGAATTTTTTTTTAATAAAAAATGGATAAGTTTGTTATGTGATCTTGATATTATACGAATTATTGTATTATTTCATTATTGAAAATTATTTTGTAACTTTGTTATTGCAGAGTTATTTATCTAACGGACATTTATCTGGTCTGGAGAGGTGATACGTATTTTTTCGAATTTTTTTTAACAGAAATTGGATAATTTTGTTAATGATAATTGGTCAACTGTCTTTGTTACTTTTACTGTTAATTAAAGTTCATTATGAGACCTTGCTATTGCAGAGTTATTTACCTAACGGACATTTATCTAGTCTGGAGAGGTAATATGTATTTTTTCGTATTTTTTTTAACAGAAATTGGATAATTTTGTTAATGATAATTGGTCAACTGTCTTTGTTACTTTTATTGTTAATTAAAATTCAATATGTTACCTTGCTTTTATATGAATTATTATATGAGAACTATTTGAAAAGTTTGTTATTACAGAATTGTGACATATTTTTTCTGTTATGAAGTTATAATTTTGTTGTCAGAAAATGGCTGCATTTTAGTGGAGGATAAACTCGTCCTTTTTTGAACTGGGTTACATACTTTTTATTCAAAGGTAGAAACACCTCCTGAATAAAACAGAAATTCCATGCACGAGTTGAGCATCCATCCTGAATTTTCCACCTTCGATCTTTTCACGAGAGCCTATTTTCCGATGCACTGGCTATACTTTTTTACAGTTTCACTTGGAAATTCTCCGGCGGAAAATTTTTGTATGACGTGTCCCAGTGTCGGAGTTACGCGATAACACGTGATCTTGTTTCCCCTGCGCTGATGGAATATCCTTTCCTCGTTTTATCCCTGTTCTGTTTTTTAAAATAACCCGTGTTGCGTGATCTACTTCACGGTTGACCTCCTTTTTCACTCATTTCGTCGCGTTTCGATGCTGGAATCTCGTTAAACTTCATACGTTTTACGTTTGTAATTTACCGTACGGTTTTTTCGTGTGCGTTGGACGAGCCCGTGTGATCTTTCGTTTAAAAGTTTTGATAGAGTCTGTGTATCGGGATTTGGGATTCGAACAATTTATACACAATGTGACGATATTCGGAGCGCTTCAAAATTCGGAGAGTCGTTAAAAACGAGATTGTTTAACGAGGACAGACTTTTTTAAAAATGGCGGGCATGGATATTAAGTATAATGAAATAGGGGTGAAATGTTTCAACTTCTGTTAAATAAAAATTTTATAAAATTCAAGAAAGTTACAATTAATTTAATTAATTTAATTATAAATTTAATAAAATTAGTCAATCAAGTAATTTTAATCAATTAATTAATTTAAACTTGAATAATCAGTTTCTATTTTTATTTACAATTGCATGAAATCAATAAAAGTATTTATCAATGTATATTGCAATTAATTTAAATAGAAGTAGAAGATTGAAACGAATAGAATCTTAAATTGAAAGGAAACGGATTCAAATAGAATATTCATGCGTGCGTACGAATATAGAAACGAAGAACGATGAATAATTACCGGTGCGAAGAAAACAAAGGAATTATCGATAATCATAAATCATACATACAGAGGAAGCGTTGATTTTCTAAAAGCTATTTACCTTCAGAATTATTCATCATTTCACATTCAACGGAAGTCAAATAGGATTACAATTGTCGTAATTCATGTTTCATTTGCGATGCGATGTTAAAAATGCGCATTTCAAGTTTCTTTTATATATTTTTATTAGTGCAAATATTATGTGATGAATAACAATTTTCTGCATTTGGGTTTCTAGGGATTTGAGGAGGGTTTTGATTCACTAAATTTTTGAATTTGTAATTTTTACGTTTGCTAAATTCCTGTTCTCTGATTTCCCAAGTTCTTGAATTCCAAATTTACTGATTTCCTTATTTGCTAAATTCCCGGATTTCTAATTTCCCGAATTCTCAAATCCCCAAATTTGATAATTTCCCAATTTGCTAAATTCCCGGTTTCCTAATTCCCCAATTTCTTAAACCCCCAATTTGCTAATTTCCCAATTTGCTAAATTCCCGGTTTCCTAATTCCCCAATTTTTCAAATCCCCAATTTGCTAATTTCCCCGCCTCCTAATTCCCCAATTTCTCAAACCCCCAATTTGCTAATTTCCCCGCTTCCTAATTCCCCAATTTTTCAAACCCCCAATTTGCTAAATTCCCGGTTTCCTAATTCCCCAAATTCTCAAATCCCCAATTTGCTAATTTCCCCACTTCCTAATTCCCCAATTTCTCAAACCCTCAATTTGCTAATTTCCCCGCTTCCTAATTTCCCAATTTCTCAAACCCCCAATTTGCTAATTTCCCCGTTTCCTAATTTCCTAAATTCTCAAGTCCCCAATTTGCTAAATCCCCTGTTTCCTAATTTCCCCGCTTCCTAATTTCCCACATTCTCAAACCCCTAAATTTCCAATCCCCAAATTTCCAAATCCCCATTTTCCCAAATTCACAACAACCCAGTTACAAAAATTCCCAGCTTCCAAACTCCCGAATTCATCTCCGCAAATGAAATAAAAACCCCGCCCCAGTATCAATAACGATCGTACAAACGAGTAGAATCGGGCCAATAAATTTTGCAAAAAGTCCTCAGTCGAATCGTCCACGGCAGGTCGGAACAGTGCATAAAGGAAACGTTTAATTATATATTCGTTTCCCGGTAACCGCAACCGTTTACCTTTTATTCAAAGCAGTACACAGGGTAAGCCGGCTGGTTTGCTTTTAGCAAAGGGTCGTGCGATTCTTTCGGATGGGCAAAAGAAGAAAATAGGAAAAAAGAATCAGCCCGCCGACTGAGCCGTAAAAACGGAGAAATTTTCGACAGCCGTGGTTTGGCGAGCTCGAAGAAGAACGCGACAGAGAAATTTCTCGTGCACGTTTTTGTCACACGGAGCAAGAAGAAAGGGGACAGTAAAGAATTCCGTGGGAAATTAAAGTGGATGCTTAAAATGGCTGCTACTCCCTTTAACCATAATTGAGGTTAGGTTCCGTAACATTTTATATAGTTCATGAAGCTTCCATACAGATAATGAATTTTTTCGATGTACCGCGTTCCGTACGTTCCCTTGATACTTCTGTGGTCCATTTGTTCACCTAACCTAACTTCGTTTACGTTCATCCTTCTGTAGAAATATTTGCTCGTCAGTAAAGTGGAACATTCTATGTTCGTTTCTTAATAAAACTATTTTACCCAATTAATTTTTATCAAGCATTGTTTTGCAATTTTTCTACCTAACCTATAGTAACGTCACTTAACCTAACCTAACTTCATTGACGTTCATCCTTCTGTAGAAATATTTGCTCGTCCGTAAAGTGGAACATTCTATGTTCGTTTCTTAATAAAACTATTTTATCCAATTAATTTTTATCAAGCATTGTTTTGCAGTTTTTCTACCTAACCTAACCTAACCTGACCTAAATTAATTCTAACTATAACCTAGAAATAGTGATTATAATAAACAATACTAATTACAACACAGAAAGTGTTATATTAATGACTAATCTAATCGCAAAGCAATTTCGGCGCGAAATTCAAACTTTACCTCCACACAGATTAAACTCGAAAATCTTCCGCATAAGATTCCGCGTGAAAGTAGGTTCTTATCTACGATGCTGGCGTGAATTGAATCTAAATCGAAATCTGATGCACGCTCGTATAAGCAGGAATAAAGTGCGCAGTAAAAAAATTGTAAATCGTGCGCCATGTTGGAAATTCTGTAAATAGGTTCGAAGTATATTGCTGAAACTTTCGATGTTCGATATTCGATGCATCTAGAGAATACTAAGTATCTCGTTATAGCTTGTGGTCAATAAGCTACTAACGCGGATTTGTAAATAATAAATCTTCGTTCAGCCATTTTATGAAAGAGTCGGCCATTTTGTACTTGGATGGCGCACTCTATTGACGTACTTTATGGAGTCATCTTTATGAAGCTTTAACTTAGATGTCGTAAGTTATTCCTTGGTATCTTTATACCACGACACGATGTTTTAGGCGTTGAGAAGTTTAAGGTGTTAAAATGTTAAAAAGGAGCGATATATCGCCACGTTACTCCTTCGAATTAAAAAAATTTATCATTAATTTTTAAGTCCTCGCATTCCAATTTTAAATTTAGACGTGAGTTACATTTATTGTTGCTGATTTGAATTAAACTTCACGCGTTCATTTTGTGTATACGTAGAGCAGTTAAATTTACATAAATTTAAATGTGCATAAATAGAACCTAATTATGTGACAAAGTAATTAAATAACAAGGATTTGGTTCAATTCCGATAGGAAATAATGAAGTCACCAGACTAACGACTGTATAGAAACGCCAAATAGAAAAACGCGCGATTAATCAAGTATCCAAATGGTAACAGCAAGGAGTTCGATATTGGTCCAGTTTCTGTCTGACAAATTGGCCGATTTCAGTGAAAATTGTCGGTGCTATGCGGAAATAAATCCACGGATGTTCTGTGGTGGTTGGTGGAAGTGTGGCCTTTTCCCAGCACGCGGGGTCACGAGGGGATGACTATCGCCCCGGGCATGAAACTCTGTCCGCGTTGCCTCGGCTATTTTCGTTTGGATTTAGATGTTCCCGTTATGAATGAGGGAACCGCCGAGCTGTCCACCAACCATTAGCATCTTCATCGCTCGCGAAATTGTGCCAGTTAATGGAACGCTTGTCGGACAAACGTGCTGTTCTATGGGATCACTTGATCACGGTCTTGGCTCATCAGACGATGCGACCTAGCCTCCGCCACCTAGCCTCGAATTTCACTCCTCGAATTTCCATATATCGCTCAGAATTAGCTGAGCCATGAAACAGTGCGATATTATGTGCATTTATCTATTTTAATATGGATCACATTTTCTGATGATGGACTACATGTCAGGATCACACCTGATTATAGTCCACATGTCAGAATCACATCTGATGATAGTCCGCATGTTCTCATATTTCTTGTCTGTCTTAACCTTTTAACCTATTTTACTGTCTACCTATAATTCTCTGTATCATTTACCTATTTAACCCCTTAACAATTTTTTAGACAGTCACAGCTGGATAATTATTGCCACGACGTTAGGGCAACTAAAGAGAATTAAAATGTTAAGCACATTTTCCCTTCGGCGATCCTTGATTGTACAGATTATTAGAATTGAAGCAAAACTGAAATGCAGGGAAAATACGAGTCTGATCACGTACGACTGTAGTGTGCGTCACGAGTGCGTCACGATATTGCAAGGGGTTCTAATATACAACTGTTCTATTTGACACTACTATTTCACTGTACCCTCTATTCCACTATTCCTCGACAAAAAATTTCATCTATTC